CACGGTTTCGAACAAACGTTCTTTTCTATTCCATTCCAAGACATCCAAAAACAATGAGGGATCATCCCTATTTATAGATCCTAACTATGACTAATTCTAATCTACCTAGGAAACATATTAAAGCAATAAAATATTAAATTCCTAAACATTCTAGATATTATTGTGCAAGAAGGAAACTAAATATACTAAAGTCCTAAATTGACTAGATCTTGATCTTGCTTGGCTTGCACTCCAAACAAATCCCATCCACACGCCCAATTAATTTCGGCCGCCTTCCGCACGCCTATTCCTTGTCGCGCGCGGCTTTGCGTGCGCGCGCCTCGCACTCACACTCCTCGGCGGATTGGGTCTCTTGCTCGCGCTGCCCGCACGCGCACACCGCCCTTGCTTCTCCTAGTCCCGCGCGGACTGGGCCTTGTCCGTCCGCGCACGCGTCATCCTTCGCGCATCCCTGCTGGTCGCCAACTTCTCTCCGCGCGTGCCCCCCATCGCTCGGGACTCCTAAGCCCACCAGCTTTAGGCCTCGCGCATGTGCACCCCGCTCGCGCGCTTCCGTCCGCGCGCCCTCGCCGCCTGCCTGTTCGCGCGCGTCATCGCCAACGCCCAAGCCCCCTTCGCCTACGGCACACCCCACTGCACCTGCTCCCCGCGGGCTCCAATCGCCTATCGTGCACCCGCGTACATCCGCGGTTCCATGCGTGTTGCCGACGCCCGCCTCCTGCCTACCTCCTGCGCACGATAACGCGTCACTCACGTCCAACATCCTGGTGCCGCGTCTCCGTTTAACGCCTCGGCCCCTCGACCTCTTGCGCGCATCATGGCACGATGCGCGCCATCCGTCCGATAGCTGGTCCTCACCGATTCCTTTGTCCCCTGACGGCCATGGGTCCCAACCATCCAACCCAATACAGTCACCGGCACGCCATATCCAACCATCCTCCATTCCTAGCCTTCCTCGTCTTTGAAACTCCGAACACCACGCCCGTTTCTTCCTAGTGCACGGCCCACAACATTGGCTTACCTTTTGCGCCTTTGATTTGCGTCGTCTTTTGGCCCGGCGCTTCTTGACCTTCAACTTAGCCCGTGAACCACATCCTTCCGGCCAGTCTCGTACGCATGATGGTCGATAAATCGGACTTGTCGGCTCCTCCAACATGTTTTCTAGCCATATGTCGAGATCTTCGCCCTCTTCATCGTCGGTCTCACTGGGGTTGATGACCTCTTCCGTATCATTCCCCTCCTCTTCAAGAATTTCCTTGTCCTCAAGGATTAGAAAG